TTAATCAGTTTAATCCTGGACCATTGAACCAGCTTTATTAACTCAGTCAATTCATTCAACAAAGAGAGGAAACTCGCACTCTCTTCAAGAACGATTGAAGACGATCAAGAGCTTGCGAATTTAGTTAACCAGTGTAACGAGAGAGTACGTTCCAACTCGACCTCTTGTTTTTGTACTACGTTGCACGAAGCCTCGAGCCTTCACACTCACAAACTCTTTCACACTCTTCTTCGCGGACACACCTGAGAAAAGAGACCTAAGAGGCCTCGTCCGGTAAACTGGGAAACATCTCAATTAACGAGAACGAAGAGTCCAGCTAGAGCAACAGATACAAAAAAAAAAAAACAGAACAGAACTAAAACATAAAAGGTAACAACGAGACACGTACCAGCCCAGTGTGAGAAGGGATTTAAAAAAATAAAATACTGACGCAAACGCCATTAAAAAAAAAAAAAAAAAAAAACAACACGCCTAAAAACAAAAAAACAAAAAAGTAACAAATACTACGGAGAGAGTAGAAATTAAGACTGATGGTATGATTTGTGGTTTGTTAGCCAGCGGAACCCATTCGGGAGACTGAGGTATAACGGGGCGGCAGTCTTGCCCGCCGCCACACTTATCCTGTCGGAGTACAAACAAGTACGTAGCTCATGTAGATCGCCTGCCGTTAATAATACGTTGTATCGTCAAACTCTGCCATACGTACGCGTACACAGGACGGATCGTCGACGTACGTACGGTGTTGTGTGTCGACGTGGGAACGTCGCCGTCGGCCCTGTGCCCCTAACTCGCTGGTTCGTCGCTCGAGCCACCCTTTTCGCCACCGTGATCTCACGTTTCGCCTCTCGCGAACAGCAAAGAGAGCAATCTTGTGAATTTTGTAATTTCAATATATATATATATATATATGTTGAGGATAACACACTAGAACTACCGACGAGCACTGCTGAAGCATAAAAATCTTCCATTTATTCGTTAAAGAGACGTTACGTTGAAAAAGATAGGAAGGAAAGCCTTGTGGTAAGAATTAACATGCACAAACTTTCATTCTACTATATGTTCTACTTCATGTTTTATCTCGTGTCTAACGAAAATTATAAATTTTGGTTGCAGTAATATTGGTTTGTGCCATGTTTTTGACCGCTTTGGCAGTTCTAGTGTTAAACGTGAACGAAAGGACAGTCAAACGACGATGGGATGTGTCGACAAGTGCACTATATATTTCCGTTTAAGAAACTGTTGACCGATGATGCTTCGAAGCGAAAGTTCATGCGTGGCGAAAGGAATTGGAAGCCTGCGAAGGGGGTGTTGCCCGTGGGACGATGGCGACGATTCCTCGGGCACGAATGCAGCGAACGATGATGTTTCGTTGCACTGTTTTCTTTTCTTTTTTTTCTTTCTTTTTTTTTTCTTTTTTTTTTGGCAAACAAAGTCGAAAATTTCCGTCGGCCAGCGAACGAGCGATACCGGCG